TCAATAAAATTAGTTTACAGTGGTTACGCTTCAAACAGTGCGTTGACAATTTCTTTTGGGAAAGACACCCGCGAAGGTATATTGTTTTCATCAAGATGTTAGATCAGAGACATGCGCAGTCGATTGCGTGTTGTATATCCGGGATGTTTGTGATGACATCACGTAAAATGCACGTGGAAATATCGGTAGTCAGCCGTCCCACTCTGCTCGAAATCAAGGGCACGATAGACGAGATGAGTTTTTAAAATAGATGTCTTTAATTGCTTGTGGAAGTATTCATCAAGGTCTTGAACGGTTTAGTGATGACTCTTAGAGGACAAGAGATTTTTATGTGTTTGGCTGCTCTATTATGCGAACAATTTTTGCCGATTCGCGAGTGGAGTTGCCAAGATATCGATCAAGTACTACTTCATGGAAATATTTTTTTCTCAGTGCATTCAGCAGCAGTGAAGTGTTAGTCAAAAATGGTGCCATTCGGAGTAAACGTTCTTTTCTTAACTCAAGAAAAAAATTTGGGGGAGCTCTGTTGTTGTTTCACAAAAGCCCTTTAAAACTGAACAAGTTGGAAAAATCGTAATTCTCTTTTAAAAAGCCACACCAACCCGTATTATACCGTTAATTTCAAGTCGTTTTATCAGTATTTCCTTCAAGCTCTGACGCCGGCACCCACTTTGACATTGAAACTACCAGTTATTCTATTATTTCGACTATTGTCCGAGCAGTCAACAAAAGGAAGTAAAAAACAATGGCAATCAGAAAGTGCCGTACACGCTCGTCACCTCGCTCTCCAATATGACATTTTATAACTAGAATAATTCCAGAACTTTAAAATGGTTTAGGCTACAGTGACAATCTTGAGATGTTTGTTGATTCCTCTTTCGTGGAATCAACAAACATCTCAGCAGGTTTCAGAGCATGACGTGGCACCAAGATGGTTAAAGATTACATGTGTCACGGTGGGCGCTTTCCATTTGACCAAAATTTTTGAGATTTCCGGTCAGAAATCGAATGGAACGGGAAAAGTTCCGCGATAAGTTTTCGAAAATTTAGGAATACGTTTTGAGTGTACCCTCTTAGCTACGGTCGCATGCGTTCCAATCGGCCAGCGAAAATACCGACATTTTGAACCCGTGATTTTTGTTGAATGGAAAGCGACCCTTGTCACCTAAAACCTGTCTATAAAACACCTTTATGTCAACAATATTTTATCATAAAGGTAAAACAAACATGACTTTGCAAACATAGCCGTGTCAATTTTCGAATCCCGACAAATCCAAAAGCGCACCATCCCGGATATAAGCTGATCGGTTTTGCACCTTTTTCAACTCCAAATCGCAAAATTCGATTCTAAGAAGGCACAAACGAAGGAATGTAATTATTTTGCATCGATACAGCCCATAGAAGGGCTCTAACGAGCGAATTGCTAATGGTAAGTTTACTCAACTAGGGTAAACTTTACCCGGCGGTAAACTGAAACAAACAAAGCACTCTGATTGGTCAATTCGGGTAAAAATTACCCTCATCTGGTAAATGTTTTTAGTGCATATTGTTTTTCATAAGGGCACAATGTTTTAGACATGTGTTAGTAGTAGATCATCAAAGTAACACTGCCTTCCTTTTCTAAAAATTTTCGACTCAATTTTTCCGAGTAACATTTGTCAATCAATTGATCTCTGATGTACTCATCTTCCCGCTCTCCAAACTCACACGAAGCGGTTCGTAGTCTGAGCCGACAAACAAATTGATCGACGGTTTCTTCATTACTCTGACTAATTTGCCGAAACAAATGTCTCTCAAACGGTACATTAGCTCTAGGAATAAAATAGTCATTCAGTACCTTGAAAGTTTCGGCGTAGTTCTTCTCTGCACCATCAGCCACCAGTGTGAAATAAACTTCCTGAACATCGAGTCCAGCTGTGTGAATTGAGTAGCAGGCCACGTTTCTGCGAGTCATCCGTGATCCCTTTACCAAGCACGTACTATTGAAACGCTCTTTTCCATTTTATCCATCGCTGCGAAACCGAATGCGGATCTCCTTTAACTTGAAAAGGCTGCAAACTGCCTACTTCCGCAGCCACTGAGGTCGACACCCCACTACTCGTGCTCGCCGAACTGCCATCTCCCTCACTTGATTCCCCACCAGGCATTGTAAACACGTATGTCCCCTCCAAATACAAAATGGTAAGAGAAACTAGCACAAAGACATTCCTCACCATCCCATCCTCGTCGCCAGATCTAATATTTGGATATACGGCAATAGAAACCTTCGATATTCTTTGATTTCAATACTTTAATCCACACACAATCCACATGACAGCTAACGAGTACCACAACAACAACTTTCGCTAGGCATCACGGGATGCCTACAAACACAACCTTTTCACTCTTCCGGTACAATACACTACAAGATGAGTGCCTGCAGATCTCAGCCAACAAAATTATTGATCAACTTTACTATAAATAAGGAAGAAATCTCGATCTGATCAAAACTTAACTGCATGGAAATACAATGAGTTGGTGTCATTTCTTTGGGTGTCCATGTTAAAGAATATAAGGAAACATTTTAGTTTCTAAAGAAACTCTATTGGTGCAGTAGAGGGCTAATAGATCAATTTTCGATAGAGGCAAGGTCACGATAAGTTTATCTTTTTTGTCACGTTACTTCTTTTTCGATATTTTCCCTATTTGGTCACTAAATACAGTTGCTGTGCTCCACTGAGTTTAAGGCTGACATGTCTTAACAGGTTCATTGTATGACGTAGATAAACAGTAACAGGAAATTTTGGGAAAAAACAGATTTTAAACCCTTCCTTGGTGCAAAAAGAGAGTCATTTTTAGTTTAAATGGGGTGCAAGGCAGGAATGTACAGGCTAATCAAAAGGAAACCTGTTCATGCTGGAATATGCATAAACCAGGAGAATTAGTCCATACCTCAATATATGCATACACATGACGAAAATGACACAACAGACTATCTTTGCAACTACCTTTGACTTTGACTGGTAGTGGATTATGTGGAATTCTTTCCACTAAACTGTATAACTACAATAATTGTGTAGATACAACAAGTACAATAGTTTCCGAGGGTGCTTTAAGCAGAAATTTAAGCGAATGTTACCAACCGATAGCTTCCCTGAAACAATATTGGTTTCAAACTTTGTCTGTTTGCTGAAGTGTAAAGTTTAAATATAATGCCGCAAATTGACTTTCGTAAATATTTCCTTCCTTCGTAACTAAGCCATTTATAAACACGTAGATGTTTGTAACTTTCCCGTTCGTTTTGAGATCACATTACAGTAAAAAAAAAAAAAAAAAAAAAAAAAAAAAATTAAAACCCCGCCACAGCTCTTCTATCGGGAATGTTGACGCAAAGTTTTAAGCCTCAGCACTCAAAACTGATTGATACCTCCGACCAATTTCGCTAGATGTAGAAATAAATTAAGCCTTTCGAGTAGATTTCATATGCTAGTGTGCTCACCTGAAGTTAGGGGAAGAAGCGCAGCGAGAAAAGCTACACAGAAACACAGGTGGAGATTAAATTGGGCCATGTTTCAATAGTATGTGTCACGCTATGCGATCGCGATTGTTTTGATTGACCGGCCGTCCGTAAATATCGCCCGGAGGTGTGCAATATGAAACAAGACGATCCAAGATCGTAAGTCGGGCTACAGGGAGACGTGCTGTTATGAATGTTGACCATTCGTGGTGCGCAGTGGTTCTAAAAGATATCTTAAGGAGGTACCAAGGTCCTGGTTTGTGGGCGTGGCATAAATTTTTTTTTTCACCCCTGAGAGACCCCAATTCTACAACAATGCACTCTCAGATATTTTTGGAGCAATGCCCTAAAAGGTATCACAGAAGCTGCTGCTGTGGACCTTTTGAGGCTGAACAGCCTAAGAGGTACCAAACCCACCTTTTTTTAACCCCTAAAAGGTACAACGAGCACCCCAGTCCCTTTTACTTAAGGAGTCCTCCCTTCCCAAGGGTGATAAGTACATGCCAATTGATGCATATGTTAAAAAGATACATTATGAAATTGTAATCATAACGGTCTGAATGCAAGGAGGTATATTTCATCGTGAAAACATTGTATGTATAGCATACCTCATCTTCATCATCATCATCTTTATTTTGGCCTATTTATATCATTAACTACAAGTGAGATAAAATAAAAAGAGAAAATAGAGAGAACAGAGTCTTACACATTGTAGGAAAGGGAGAAGTGTGTAGTGTATGGCAAGCCAATTGTAGCAATATTCAACTTTATTTAGCCAGGCTGGCTAAATTTAGCCAGGCTGGCTTTATTTAGCAAAATTCTATGAAATTCAATGAAATTCAATTTCAGTTCAATGAAATTCAGTTTCAATTCAATGAAATTCAATTTCAACTCAATGAAATTCAATTTCAATTCAATGAAATTCAATTTCAATTCAATGAAACTCAATTTCAATTCAATGAAACTCAATTTCAATTCAATGAAACTCAATTTCAATTCAATGAAATTCAATTTCAATTCAATGAAATTCAATGAAACTCAATTTCAATTCAATGAAATTCAATTTCATTTCAATGAAAATTCAAGTTCAATTCACTGAAAATTCAAGTTCAATTCAATGAAAAAAAAATACATTCAAAATTGCCTCCGGTTAGTGACCGGAAATGATGACTAGCATACGGGAACTTTCAGGCTTTATGTTTCCGTGCCGTAAATTTTAACTAGCATCATGGCGGACTTAGAGCCAGAATTTGACGTAAAAAAAGACTAACCTGAATTTTTATCGTCAGTGCTCGAAAGAACAGAGCAGTGTATAAATAAAAATGAAACGGATATCAATGACTTGCAAGCACAATCTGTAGTTCTCGATCGAACCGTTAGTCTTTTGAGTTCTATTGCCTTAACTGACATTGAGCAAGATCGGATCGAGTGGGAATCTCTAGCTACTGCTTTTTGTTGTTGTTCCTCCCGTGACATTACCAGTTGAACATCAGTCAGTTCAAGCCAGGGTTCTCAAGCGGATCGATCCACTCATGTCATTGATGTAAATGGACATAGATATCTACACTAACATTCACCAGATAGTAAAAGAGATTGTTGAAAACAGTTAAGAACACTATACCTTTTTGGTAAATCATGTGTCCATGTTCAATTGCTATGTAAGATGTGTAGGCAGTAAAGTTAACAATTGAGTGTCATTATTAATCAAATGCAAAAAGAACAGTCAACAGGGTGTGATATGGCTACCTAATTGCCAAAGAAAATCAGTATTCCACTAGTATCAAAAATGACTTTAACTTTAACTTTATTCAGGTACCTTAAAACAGAAACTCTTTTTGTAGCGTTTACGGCGACCAAAATCTAAATTCTAAAGTTCAAGGGCGTGTCGCTCTAAAACGCTGTTAGCGAGGTGTTTGGGACTATTTTACTGATCGAAATGACAACCCAAAGTTGACTGTTTGCACGAATCTTTATTCTTGAAAGGCGGTCGACCACGAACCACAATCAATGACAAAAATAAAGATTATTCTGACAGTCAATCAATCTATCGAACGATCGATCGTAAACTGAAACAACAATACAACGAGGTTCTATCAATCTAACGAAAAACCGCGGAATATATGATCAAAGAATCGCATGTTAAATACTGGGCTCTAAAGTCTATAACCAGATGTAAGCTTAATAATCATGATATAGGTCCCATAAATATAACAATTACGTTTATCCTCACTGATGAAAGTCCAAAATGGCATCTTTGTCGTCGTTTCCCAGAGTTTGATCACGAGGCACCTTGTATTTATCAGCCAATGTTCTCTTGTATCTCTGTCCACATTTTCTGTTCACTGATAACTCATTCGATTTCTGGTTGTTGTTGTTCATTTGTTGTTCATTTATTTGTTTAAGCAGGTTGATTAATTGGCAGCTGTAATAGTTGATGTGGACCTGCCGTCCTAACCCACCCATCCCACCCCAGGGG